GACGCGACGCAAGGCCTGTAATGTGATAATAGCGCGGCAGGCAGAAGTGGGACAACGGTTCAGAAGTATATAGCCCAGGGGGGCACACAACTTTACTCAGTTGACGGTACTCAGATGAGCACCTGGGTCAAGTGTTTGTGCTAGTGGAGTATTGAAGCCCTCTGTAATCGCGAATGTCAGCGGCGGGGTGGAGAAGGGGGATGGAACAGTAGGGGAGGTTGCAGCAATCCATCAGGTGCAGGGCCTTCGTGCCACCACCGAGCGTACGTCAACAGTCCGCTGTACAGCGCATCTTCTCTTAGCGCAACATGCGCTGCCAATAGGTACAGCGACACGACGTCTCATATCAGACAGCCCAGTCTGTGACACGGAAACCAATGTCATGAAAACCCCCGTGATCTAAACCGCGTTCTGGAAAAGCTTTCACAAGCTAATGTCGGGGTCACGCAAATGCGTTTCTGATACAACTGTACATACGCTTTCAGACTAGTGCCGCGACCTATGCGCTACTCTCTGCGCAACCCAACGCACATATGCGCGCCCACCCGCTCTGATAATATAGACCACCACCTCACAACCAGACCCAAGCCCCTACCCCCATATACACCCCTCCCTCATATACACACACCACAACTAACAATGTTATGCAGAAACCCTCAACTCCCCCCGTCCTCTTTCAAAGATCATCTAGGAGCGAGACATGCCCGTATCCTCCTAGCCCCTTCCAACCCACCCACAAAAAAAAAAGCGGGCAACAACACAAAACAGCGCGCTTTACAGGACACTGTGCTCACACTCAAAATTATTATACTATATATAACACTGAATATACGATGATGAAGGCATTTTTTACCCTAAAAACTATCAGGCAACACATCTCATAATGATTGCATGCTCTCGTTCATACTAACTGGAACATGATAATATTCATCATTAACCTCCAAGCTAACGCCCATCATATCAATACTACAAATTATTAACTTTTGTCTGTACAAGTAGGGCCTGTCAAGAAATATGCCCAAACAACAAAAACGCGAGCCGGCAGTTAGACGCTCCGCTGTTCTGAAATGCTTCTGAACGCGCCCCGGTGGGTTATGACGCGTAGAGGAGGTCGGACCAAAACCGCGGCGCAGCCATAACGCGGCGCTGACGGACCCGGTGAATCTGGGTTAGCCTGTCCCTCTTGTAGGAGCCAGCCTGGAGAGGTTGGCCAGAGTGGGTGAACGCCCGATGCCACCTGCCTCTGAGAGAGCGCCCCCCAATTTGGAGGGAGCGCCAGGGCTGGGCCCACCTTCATCGTGTCATCTCTGCAGTACCACGGCGCCCCAATGCGATCCGGCCGCACCAGGAGATGACAGACGTTCTCGCCTCACTCTCCCAGAGTAGGAGAATGAGACGCAACGGTGGGTGTGGAAAGGCGTAAAGCAGCTTCTATGCCATGGTTCCGTGTGCAAAACGCGTCTACCCCCGGGAAGGGCAGGTCGGTCGCTCAGAGCCATGGAAACCACAGGGAGCGCAGTTGGGTGTGCGCCGGCTGGCGAACAGATCCACGCTCTGCTGTCCCGAACCTGACACCGATCCGCTATCACCACCTCCGGGTGAGCGACCCACGTCGCCTGGCAGGGTCCGCCGTCGACATGAGTCGGCCCCCCTTGTTTCCAGAACCCGGAATGTGGAGGGCTCTCAGAGATAACACCACCTCTGCAGCCCCATAACCACAATTCTCCGCTGTGGTCAATCAAGCCGGCGGAGAGGACTCACCCTGCCTGTTGATATCCAGCTAGTGTGGGGACCGTTCTCACTACTTGGCCATAACATGTACCTAGTGGTCAACAAGGTTCAGACAGAAACTGTTATCTGATGTGTCAAAAGAACCTTTATTAGGATGTTTATTTGTTCAAATAAGTGTTCCTATAAGATTAAGGTGTAACTAGGACATAACGTTTTAAACTGCAAACATTCAGAGGATGTTTTGAGGATGTTATTAAAGGCCTGAGAATGACAGAAGTTGTTTTTATTAAAACGTTCCTTTAATGTGATATGTTAACAAAGGTGGGAACGTTTGCCTGCAACATTCTAAGGATGTGTTTGGACGTGTTGGGTATCACATTAAAAGATGTCGTTTATAAAAAGTCCCTCAATTTTACATGATAACAAATGAAGAACATTTTCAAAGCAACATCTGAAATTGTTTCAGGATGTTATATGAGGCCTGAGATGAGAGAAAGGTTTGTATAAAATTTTCCCTCATTGTTAAATGGATAACACAAATGTAAGGAACCATTCTCAAGAAACATTCTTGAAAAGTTTTCCGGATGTTATTGGAAGCCGAGATGACAGAAAGTGTTTATAATGTTCCTTTAATGTGATATGTTACAAAGGGTGAACGTTTTGCCTGCAACATTCTAAGCATGGTTCATTGGCGTCTGTTTGACAGGTACAACATTAAGCATGATCTCTTGTATAAAACCGTTCCACTCAATGTTACAATGAGTATAAAGACAAATGAAAGAACGATTTTCAAAGCAACATTCTGAAAAGTTTTCAGGTGTTATTGAGGCCTGAGATGAAGAAAGTTTATATAAAATGTTCCTTTAATGTGATAGTGTTAACACATCGGAGGTGGAACGTTCTGCCTGCAACACTTCTAAAGGACGTGTTTTGGACATATGTTGGTACACATTAAATGATGTTCTTTATAAAACTGTTCCCTCTCAAATGTTACCCAGGATACACAAAATGACAGCAACCACTTTTCAAAAAGACAACATGCTGAAAAACGTTTTCAGGAATGTTAATTGCAGGACACACCCAGATGAAGAGAAAAGGATCTGTATAATAACATGTTCCCCCCAACAAAAAAAACTAACACCAACACAAAACCAGAAATTAATTAACTAATGAATAGAACAACATGAAGAACAAATTCTCAAGCAACTAACATTTCTGAAAATAAAGCAACCTACTATGTTTTCAGGATGTTATTGAGGACTGCATAACAGAAAAACCAAAAAACAAAGGGACAAGACAAAGTGTTTCATAAAACATGATCTACAGAAACTATTAAATGTAGATACCGTTACCAGACCACACTGTGGCACCGCTCAGTCGCCTGACAACAATTCTAAGGAGCGATTTATATGGGCAGATGTAGGGGTAACACATTAACCGATGAGCTTCATTATATAAATGAACCGTATACCTCACTGTTATACACTGACATACCCAAATTCCACGCAACATTCTCAAACCCGAACTTGTTGCCACTCTGCTTTTGACCATACGGCATGTTTTAAAAACAACATCTAGAGATCCCCATCCACACATTACCAGTCACTCTTCTGAAAAAAAACACCACAATGAATACAAGGACGCAAATAACCTACTTGAAGTAGAGCCAAACACGTATCAAGTATACCGTCGGCCTGAGATGAAACAACAAGTATGTGCGGCTGCATAGGCACTGCGCAACCCTCTAACCACCCGTCCAATCGCCACCCCCCCACAACAACCATGCCGTAGGACAACGCATTCACACAACAAACCAGCAAACCGCAGTCCACCCCAACACATCCTCCCAAGATTGCGTTCAAGAAAGCAAATCATGGTATGGACTTTGATCACAATCGCCATATGAATACTCAGAACACTGCGCATCTNAGCTGTTCCATGTGTTCTAAGGGCAGCAGTGCGCTCCACATAATATGCCAGCGCACGCACCGGGCAGAGGAGGTGTAATTTAGTGGGGCAAGGGAGGCTAAATTACACCTCCTCTGCCCGGTGCGTGCGCTGGCATATTATGTGGAGCGCACTGCTGCCCTTAGAACACATGGAACAGCTGTTTGTGTGCTTCGGGGGCGGGGTGATCGGGAAAGCTCTGTCCAAGAAACGCCTGGCAGGCTGGCTCTGCGAGTGCATTGCACATGCCTACGGACAGGTGGGGAGAGCCTTCCCCACGGGGGTCCGTGCACACTCTACACGAGCTATGGCTGTGTCAACAGCCTTATTTAACGGCGTGAGTGCACGGCGGCGTCTTGGTCAACGCCAGGCCCTTTCATAAAGTTTTATCTCTTGGATATGTCTGGCTCCTTTTCATTGTATGTGCTTGCGGGGGCAACACAGGACTGGTGAAGATGGAGGGGGGCTGTGGGTCAGTGGGCATCTGACCCCCTCCCCGGACATAATGCACTTACGTTTTCCCCCGGGCCCATGACGCGCACATGAGCCCATAGGGAATGGAGGACTCTTTTCCCAAAGCTTTAGGGCAGGAGGGGGGAGTCCTCCACGTTATAGCACACCTCCGTGGGGTAAGCGCGTCTGGGTGTGCTCTGTCAGCCGCAGCCTCTTTTTCTCTCCACGGTTACGACCGAGGGAGAGGTGAGTGAGGCGGAGCGGCTGCTAACCAGAAAGACGGTCAGAAACAATGAGATGGAGCAGTGTTGTTGTGGGACGACAGCGCGTATATACATCGGGGTCCGCCCACTGTACCCATAGAGTCCAGTAGAGGGCGGAGCCTGTGAGAGATATAACGAGGGGTTACGTATGGTAACCCTTGTTATATAAACACAGGCGGAGCCCTCTACCTCTGGGGCCCTGTCTATCCTATGCTGCTTGCTGAAGAGAAGTAAAGGATGGCAGTGAGGAGGCAAGGCCTCCTTTTATGCGGTGAGATGCACACACATTCAGGTAGGCCCGCCCATGGGTCGGAAACGGATACTATAAAGTCTCAGTGAATGAATGTTTGCATGATAGGATCGAGGGGAGTACCCATAGAGTCCAGTAGAGGGCCCCGCCTGTGTTTATATAACAAGGGTTACCATACGTAACCCCTCGTTTTTGCAGTAATGTTGTTAGGTTACAGTAAAAAGTCAATGAATTTCAAGAAAATATGTCAGCTCGCTAAGGCACTTAACATCAATGATTTAAGAAACTATGTAATGGCTCAGATGTGAAAATGCAACACAAGCAACGTGTCAACTCTGATTTCAGGATCTGGGCCACTAAGTGTAGGGCAGAGCTGGACACATATTTGAAGAACACTGAACACCTACACATTATATTAGCAATGCAATGGCAGAATCCAATAGTATGGAATAGTATGTGTTAGTTATGTGTACATTTTTTGACGATAGAGTTGAGTGAGTGTTGCACCGCAGCTTGCTGAGGGGTGATGAGAGGGATGTTTCTCATTCATATGGATTACGAATTATTGAATCATTGGTCTCTAGCAGCAGCCAAGGAGAAACAGAGAGAAACACATTTCTGCTTTGGCATGCAACAATTAGAAACTAATGCAGCCTAAAAATACTTCAAACAATTCTGAATGTTCTCATTAACTGGTGCATGTACTTGAATAACAAAATTGTGCCCACATATTCAGTAATGTCTTACACTCTGAATATTTTGTCTACGTTTTTAAAACTACTTGCAGATCAAAAACAAGCAAATTTAGTAGAGCCTGCTTGGAGGTATGCACCATAGCCCATGGGTCCTCTAAATTCCCTCATACAAGTAATAGGAATGTCTTTTTCTACCTCTTTTATATAGGAACAAAAGATATATGAGAACAATTTCTCACAAAAATAAAATGTACCTCTAAATTGCATCAACCCCTCCGTTTACAGTAATATAAGTTCATAAAAAATAATGTATTGCACTATAGGAGAGTATTATTGGATTGCATTAAAGTCTAAGCGTCACTGTGTTTATTGCCAATAATTAAGGAAAGGGCTGTACATTTAAAATGTCAAAGCATCATGAAGAAAATCAGCTGAAGGTTATGTACTGCAATTAATGACGTGCACTATTTCCATAATGTTGCCAAAAATGAAGATGTGTGTGTTTGTGTGTGAGGGTGAACCTAGTGAAATCTTCTCCCCAGAGTCAGCAGGCAGGAGGAACACGAGCAGGGCCAGGGTGGAGATGAGGACGCAGGGGATGAGCAGGTTGAGGCCGTAGTAGAGGGTCCGCCTTCGCATCACCACGGTGAAGGTGACGTCCGGGTACGGCTCCTCGCAGCAGTCGTAGAAACGCTCGTTCTTCCGTCCTGGAACCCCTGCGAGACAAAACACAGTCAGCTATGGAGGAATCTTTGAATTTCTGCACTTCACACTCAGCAGTCTGTTCTTACCGACAAGATCCCACTCTCCATTGGCAATGTAGCCAGTGATATCCGCCTCCACCATCTTCAGGTCCAGAGACCAGCCCCCATACGTCCAGGAGCCAAACTTCAGGTCACATCTCTGGACATCAAAGGGGAACCAGCGAACATCAATGTAGCAGGTGCTCTTGAAGATGCCTGGTGTGGGGAGAAACATTGGAGGAACACTTTCTTTGATATGTAGGACACTTCCCCTGCAACTTAAGAGACACAGACATGGGTGGAGTTATATTCAGAGCTCTGATAGAGATTCAACTTATCTAGACCATAAGTGTGGGAAATCCCTCTGCCTTTTTTGGTCTTGTGGAGGCAGGGCTTAGCCTCCACCACACCTGATACAACTTAAGGCCTGTAATCAGCAGTGCTCAGACTCTCTCCAGTTTCTGCAGCAGCTTGCTGATCCTCATGGGCTCTCTTCACATGCTGAACATTGATGCATATTTTGAGTAAGTTGTGATTATGTTTATTGGTGGCTTATCCTTATCCTGCAAAAGCAATGTTTGATTTGTTGTACCAGAGCGTTGAAGCCCTTCCTGATTTCTATTTTGTATTATTTGTAGCCTTAAAACCATCTCCATCACCTTCACCATCTACATAGATGGTCTACTGCATGTGAAGAAATGCTTAAACTGCTCTTACTGGTGGTCCTCATACTTTGAATGGTTTGCCAACACAGAGGCACTTCAGGAACCCTCCTTAAAACTACCAGCTAGTTTTTACAATAGGTAAAAGGGGGAGATTACAAATAAAATAAAAGGGAAAAGGAAACAACAGAGGCCAGCAGCTAAAGAGGCAGCAAGAAAGGTTTTACTCCAACAAGTTATGGAGCTCACGTGCCATACATCCTAAGGAGAGTAACAAATCCAATACGACAATGAGATGAAAGGGCCGGTAATTCTTTAGGAGAGACAAGCACCAAACTCATTTCCATCCATGTTTAAGAAAATATGAGACGTCGGCAGTAAACAAAGTCTTTCCCCTCTCTCTCAGAGCCATGAAGATGATAAACCTCAGCAGGGAATACATTGAGAAGGGGAGCAGAACAAATGTAATGACTGTTTTACTGCACTGAACCAAGACATGTTATCAGGAAATGATATGGAACAGCCGTCGAGGTCCCATCTGCATAAAGCTTACCCATTTAATGCAGTTGAGTTGAACTCAAGTGGCGACTGGCTATTTTGCAACAATATGACAAGGTTCATTTGGAACAGTTGAGAGACGGTATGCTTGAGACAGAGGCAATCAACCCAGAATAAATTAAATGATGGAGCTATTTACGCGAGTATTGATTAAGATGCTGCGGCGAGGCCTGCCAGGGAGAGCAGTAATCACCAGCTGTGACAGGAAGGCCTTCTCATTCAATGTGTTCCCGTGCATGCATGTGTGTGTATGTGTGTTAAAGTACACATATGGGTTCATTTGTCTTGTAAGACCGCAGAGACAGGCAGAAGTGAGCCAGAAGGGGCTTGTTCAAGAGGAGTGCATCACTGATTAAAGCATCACTTAGCTTGGTGGTGTGAGCCATGTGTTTGAAGCATATGACAATAAATTACTGTTATTGAACATTTTAAACACAAAGGGATCATATCATAACAGTTCAACAATTTAGGGAAATACATTTGCATTTTAACCTAATTAACACAGTCCTTAAAGGTGGGGTATGTAATTTATTTCAGAAACACTTTTTGTTATATTCCATGAAATGCTCTTAACATCCCGATAGCAATGAATATATTAAATGCTTTGACAATAATTACATAAAAAAATGTAATCTGTGGAAGCCGTGGTGCTGTAAAAAGCACGACCAATCATGGTCGGCATGGCTAAAATAACTGGATGGCCTACCTGCCTGTCAGCCTTCCATCTGTGCACAAACTTATCTCGTGCCCTCACTGGTCATGTGCGCGTTCGTGTGTGTTGGAGGAGGGACTCTGTAAGGAAGTGGCAGATTTTTTCCGGTTGTGTATTTTCAAATTCTAGCGCACTCGAGCTGGTTTCTCCAAAATGACATACCCCACCTTTAAAATATTCAGATGCAAGTTAGCTTAGCCTAGCATTAATACTATAAACAAGGGAACAGCTAGTCATTCACGGTGGCGTTTTTATATGTACAAAAGTGGTAGGGCACGAAAAACTTAGATGTTTATATATAAGCTTTTGGTGGTTTTTTAAACCATAAACAAATAGCTGGCTATCCATGGTTCCGATAGGATAGAGAGAGGCGGGAGGGTGTCGCTCTATGCAAGTCAATGGGACTCCCTGATAGTTGATTCAGGTCAAAGTGACCAACCCAAATAATTGGGGTTCGAGTAAAACCCCGACCAACAAGAAACTCGCCGAACGACCCGTTATCATACCAACTACACGCACCGTTTCAGACATCACCGTCGGCCGTGTGCTCCTCCTCTTCCTCCTCCTCCTCCTCCTCCTACTACGACTACGACCGCCCACACCATGTCCCACACACCGTGCGCCACCACCACTCCCCCGTGGTTCTCGACACGGAGCGCTCCATGTCGCAACCACCCGCGCGGACTACTGCAGTCCGGAACCGCGAGCGATTGAGTCGGGCCTCAAACGGCTCCAGTTCGACCACTGTCATTCCGCACGCGACGTTGCCGTCCACGTCCCCAGCGGTCGTCGTGGTAGCCGACGTCAAGAAAGTAGCGATAAAGTAAAATATTCTAGGAATCTGGAAAATTCGGTTAAAGACTACAGGTAAACATTAAGTTTGTCTTTACCTCAGATGTCTTACGTGTTTAGACCTCTAACTAGGGCGGGGACGCGGGACGGGGACGGGCGGCGGAGCTGCATTCGCACGCATACACCGACGAAAACGAGACCGGCCCTGTTAAAAAACCACGAGCTTTACTTGGCCTAAGGCCTCGATTCCTGCCGGCGCCACACTTCTCCTTTTTTGGGCCACGAAAAGTTCGAGGTCGAGGGCTTGCCGGGACTTTGTGGTCACCACACTTACTCCATATTAAAGCCGACTGAAATTATAAACTAAAGGTTAACCATCTATCTCGACATAACCGTGGTATTGCCACGTGTCGGCTATCTTTCCCGTGTGATCACCAATTTGCGTGCAATAACGTAAAATAATAAAATAATAGTTATCGTTTTTGTCGTTAATTGACTTTAATCATTTGCGTGAGTATTTTTTCTTGTATGCACCAAAACAAAAATGTATATAAAATTCCTATTATTATCGTTACATTGTGTACTGTGAATATTGTGAAATAATTGGTCACAGGTACACTTCAACAGGCAGTAGAGAGCCGCACTTCTTTTTTTTTTTGTCATAAAGGGCACAGCCGCAAAGTATCATTGCAACCAACGATCCCTGCGTCGAGAGCCGACGGCCTTTAATCCAATGAGGAAAT